TTGAACCAAAATTACTGAAATTGACAGATCTGGAAATTCTTGGCAACTGGTTATTCGTGTGCTGGATGAAAACAAAATGACAAAATCATCCATTCAGAATCTATAGATTTCCTTGGCCTTGTTTTAACCCACAAAGGTATAAAACTACAGGACCGTATTATTATTAAAATCCGTGACTTTCCTGATGTTATTCAAGATAAAAAGCAGCTACAGAGCTTTTTAGGAATCTTGAATTATGGCCTCAACTTTATTAAAGACTTATCTCAAAAAAAGCTCCCCTTAATAAAGAAGCTACAGAAAAATATAGTGTTTGACTAGACGGATAACGACACCACAGTTGTCCAACAAATCAAACGAGATTTGGTCCATATCCCTGAAGTTTATTTTCCCCAAAATGGTGATAAACTTATTCTTGAAACTGACGCCTTTGACTTTTGCTGGGGATATGTGTTAAAAGCCATTCCACAGGACAAGTGGGATGAAGCTATTTTCACAAATCATCAGATACAAGCACACAAAACTCCTATTGCAAAAAAGCTTCAAAAAGAAGAATTGATTTGTGGCTATAATTCTGGCAAATTTAAACCCAATGAACAGAATTATATTATTTATGAGAAAGAACTTCTGGCAATTAAATTAGCAATAAAACGATTTCATATTTATCTTGCTCCAGAAGATTTAATTATTCGAACTGATAATCAAGCAGTTAAAGATTTCCTAATAAACAAAAAGAATTGTTTAGAAGGATGACGATTAAAATGGTATAATGTTATTGCTTAGTATTCCTTTGCTATTGAACATATTAAAGGCACTAATAATTTTCTTACAGATTTCTTAAGCTGAAATTATAATGAAGTATCTAACCAAGATATTTCTTTGACTACAGATGAGTGATCAAGGTAAAAAGTCTCTTCCTGATAAAGACGATTGGATTACAATTGCTAAAAAAAGTAATCGATAAATCAACTCCATCACAGCCTAACAAATGGTTTGTGGCTTTTACTGGTCACCAACCAGGAATCTATTCCGGATGGAACGACTGTCACAAACAGCTGCGATCATTTTCTGAACAAAATATAAAAGCTAAGAATGTTTTACAAGAGAGAGAGAATACAAGCTAGAGAAAATATAAAAACTTCAGATGCCGAAACCTTCGCGGAGTTTCGGTATAAATAGTGTTACAAAAGAAAACAGTCCTCGAGAAGATAAGAAGGAATCTTTCTTTATATTGTTCCTTTAAAGTGGATATCAGCAACTTTCACTGTTGATGAATAGTTTATCGGCTACTTTCACTGTTGATGAATAATAGAAGTGACAGCTCTTCTTGTTGTGTGCTGGATGAACTGCAGTCGATCAGAGAGATGAGTGACAGGTTATCCTTCCATTGCATTGATGAGATTATGGAGTTCATTTTCATTAAATGGAGGAATACTGACTGGGGACTGAGCGTTAGCAATGTCCCAATCCAGATTGATGTCATCAGCACCGCTGCGGATGGGTTCTGGAACGTCAATTGTATTAGCCACGATTTCTTTTAAAAATTCTTTGGCGGTCAAAATGTGGTTCTCTGAATATTCAGGATAATACATTGTCAGAGTGGTAATGAAAAGTCTTCGTCCATCACAACAATAACCGATTTAATCATTGTTATTAAAAGTTCCGTTTAGGATTCTTCGGGCTTTATCTTGCAGGTGAATAAGATTATGCATTGCAGGGTAATACGGATCGATGTTGTTGGCGATTTCTTCGGAATTGAGAAGTTGAGTATGCTCAAGATCTGCTTATTCAGTTGTTTTGAGGAACCAAATCTGGAAGGGTTGAAAGAAATGAGTTTTTTCTCGCCAACCAATAGTATTAGAAATCCAGAAAGTTAGATTTCGACTGTATTTCTAGTGAGAAGTGACTTTGTAGATCATTACTTTGATCATTGCAGGAAATACAATCCAGGAATGACAGTCATAAGATGAGAAAGTAATTTTGTTAATTACTCCCCAATCGACAGGTTCCATTGTCTAGGGAAAACCGGGAATAATTAAAGGAGTCATTTTTGGGATTGTTTTCCCGTTATAGATCATGTCGAAAGTATTAATTTCTTCATGATTTTGAGAAGTAAAAATATTTTATTGTAGCAGAATGATCCACTGTTTTTGAGAGGATTATTCGAAAAAGTTCAGGAGGAAAAATATTCCTTGCTTTCTCAAGGAGACATATACGATTGATTTTAGCAAGCGTATTTTGTGGAAAATCAAGTTCTCCAACTAACTGGGCAAGTTTAAGAAAACAATTTATTTGTGATAAAGAAAAATCTTTTCCCAATCAATGGTGAGACAGATTTGAATGTAAAGCTATTTAAGCTCATCAGTCATAGCTGTTTGTTTAGCTACAAGAGAAGTAAGAGTACTCAGGTGTTGCCTGAATTTCTTATTAGCACCAATTTTGTGAAATTTCCAAACATTATTAATTTCATTATAAAAATTGTTCGGAAGACCGGGATTATAGAAGTCTTTTACCTCTACTTGCTCCTGGAGTTGAGAAAACATTTTTTTGTGAGGCTTTACCCACGTTATAGAAGACGTTTTGGGCATCTAGAAGTGTGTCATAAGCCTTGAAACATGAGCCAGAAAATGATCGCAACTGTTTGTGACAGTCGTTCCATTCGGAATAGATTCCTGGTTGGTGACCAGCAAAAACCACAAACCATTTGATAGGCTGTGATGGAGTTAGTTTATCGATTGCTTTTTTAGCAATTGTAATCCAACCGTCTTTATCAGGAAGAGGCTTTTTACCTTGATCACTCATCTATAGTCAAAGAAATATCTTGGTTAGATACTTCATTATAATTCCTGCTTAAAAAATCTGTAAGAAAATTATTAGTGCCTTTAATATGTTCAATAGCAAAGGAATACTGAGCAATAACATTATACCATTTTAATCGTCGTCCTTCTAAACAATTCTTTTTGTTTATTAGGAAATCTTTAACTACTTGATTATCAGTTTGAATAATAAAATCTTCTGGAGCAAGATAAATATGAAATCGTTTTATTGCTAATTTAATTGCCAGAAGTTCTTTCTCATAAGTAATATAATTCTGTTCATTGGGTTTAAATTTGCCAGAATTATAGCCACAAATCAATTCTTCTTTTTGAAGCTTTTTTGGGATAGGAGTTTTACGCGCTCGTATCTAATGATTTGTGAAAATAACTTCATCCCACTTGTCCTGTGGAATGGCTTTTAGCACACATCCCCAGCAAAAGTCAGAGGCGTCAGTTTCAAGAATAAGTTTATCACCATTTTGCTGAAAATAAACTTCAGGTATATGAACCAAATCTCGTTTGATTTGTTAGACAACTGTGGTGTCGTTATCCGTCCAGTCAAACACTGTATTTTTCTGTAGTTTCTTTATTAAGGGGAGCTCTTTTTGAGATAAGTCTTTAATAAAGTTGCGACCATAATTCAAGATTCCTAAAAAGCTCTGTAGCTGCTATTTATCTTGAATAACATCAGGAAAGTCACGGATTTTAATAATAATATGGTCCTGTAATTTTATACCTTTGTGTGTTAAAACTAGGCCAAGGAAATCTATAGATTCCTGTTCAACATCTATCTTTATTGGAGATAGAATGATTCCATGGTTTTTCAGTTTTTCCGAAAGACATTAGAAATGTTTTTTGTGTTCATCTCTTGTTTTAGAGAATACAAGAATATCATCGATGTATACAACAACAAAGTCTTCAAGGTCATTAAAGATCTTGTCCATCCATCTTTGATATATCCGAGGTGCAGTATTGAGACCGAATGGCATTACGGTCCACTGATAATGACCTCTTGGTGTGCTGAAAGCAGTTAATGGCCTAGATTTTTTTCGTAATTTTATTTGCCAAAACCCTGTTTTACAATCAAACTTGCTGAAGATTTTTGCTCTACGAGTTTGATTAATGAGAACATCTTTTCGAGGAATAAAATATCTGTCAAAAAGTAAATGTTTATTAAGCCGTTTATAGTTGATTACCATACGGGCTGTTCCTCTTTTTACCTCACTATGGTTTCGTACCATAAAAGCAGGACTGCTATGAGGGCTTTTGGTTCGTTCAATGAACTTCTTTTCAAGAAGATCTTGAAGTTGATCATCAAATTCGTTTATATCTTTGCGGAGATATATCATTGGTTTTACACGAATGATGATGTGACCATCTTTGAGTTTCAATCTGCAAAAATGAAGACTTCGACTCCACAGATTTAAAGGATTGTCAGAGAAATTTTGTCTCAAAATAAAATATAACCAGGGAGATTCACTTAAGACAAAAAGTTCATTAGTTTCCCTTTTGGGGGAGAAAATTTTCATTACAAACAGAAGCTAAATTTTCTTGATTCAAAATTTCAACAACTGTTTTGTCTTTTAAAGTTAAAGAAATTGATTTTTCGTTTAATTGTAAAGGAATATAACTGTAAATAAAGTTACATCCTAGGATGAAATCACCATGCATATATGGAAAACAGAGCAATTTTGGTATGATAAATTTTTTGTCATTTAACTAGATAGCAATATCTTTTGCTTTAAATTGAATGACATTCATGGGAGCTTCAGCATCAATGCCTTGAACACCAATGGGATGTTTCATTTGTCGCCATTTTTCAGATAGGACGGTGTTGTAATGACAACAACTGGTTGTTGCTCTGGTGTCGATGAGTACACAAAGGCTATATGGTTTATAACATTTGAAGTTAAGGATACCATTAACATAGGTATACTTTCGCTTTTTTCCTTGAGAAGGTGCGATAAGGATTTCGTCATTTCCATATCTGAAATGAAAAAATCTTGTAGATTTCATGGATTGATTAGAGCCAGGAAGGAAAGGTGCATCAATGGGAGCTTTTCCTTTCTCGGCCCAAGTAAACCTTCGACATGGAGGTAGCAGGTCGGAGGTCTGAGCATTAGAAATTCTTGGGGGAAGTAATTTATCCCATCCTGATGGACTGCTAGATATTCGTGTTGAAGCTGATCATTGCAGCTGTGGTTTCTCTTTATTAGTTATATAAAGATTGGAACCAGAGGCTTGAATAGTGGTAACGGTAGGCTCAGCTATACGCAATTTTGGTTCCGAGTTGATGTCTTCGAATAACCAGTTGCGAGGAATTTCCAGATCTGTCCATTTTAGTGATTTTGGTTCAATTACTGAATCAAAGGGACGAGGTTCAAATAAAGTGACTAGTTTTGAGTCAATTGTAGGAATGGTGGCAGTCTCAGGTTTCCGAGTAAGCTCGTAAAGAACTTTCCACTGTATCCCTAGACTTGGAAAATCAAAATCCATTTTGAGATTAGAAAGTTGAAGTTTGACTTGGAGAACTTTCTCAATGTTTGGGTCAGAAAGAGAAACAAAATAATTCGGTTTGATTTTAAACCAAATTATATTATTAACAAGATTGGATTGAACGCCACCAATAAGGGCATCAACAGGATTATGGAATCGATTATCCATAACGAGGGCAAGAATGGGTTGATCAGTTCCTTTGCGGAGCAGAGAAGTAATTTTGATCTGAACCATTCCTATATAAATATAGCGTGCGAGAGGATTCCGCTGTCGCCATCGAGCAACCTTATCGTTGTTGAGGATATTGAATCCATGCTTGCCACTAAAGGTGTAATCGATAATGGTATCACCGCTGAATTGTTCAAGGATCCTTTTTGAAAAGATGGAGAACTTGGAAGTTTTGTAGACTTTTTCTTTTTTCAGCTTCTGGAGTTTAGCGAACTGAATGAGTTGTTCATTCGTAAACTGGACTTCTTCACCAATAATATTGCTTAATTTAATGTGAGAGCTTTCGTCATCTTGAGGAGAAGTAAACTGCATCATACGGATTTCTTCATCTCTACCATCACTTGATTCTGAGAATTGACTTGAAATTTCATATAAAATATCGTCAGAATCAGAAAGGTCGCTGCCATAAGCAACACAGAGATCTTCTGCGTTAAGGCGTTTGATCATTTTAGATGCACTTTTGCTTTTATTGGGGCAATTGGGTGCAATATGGCCAGGTTCATTACAAATATAGCATTTGTAATCTTTTTTGATCTTCGGAGTCTTTTTCCCTTTGCGTTTACTTCGGTTAGAAGTAGTGGGGGACGAAGAAGATGGTTTAACATACTTCTTGGATTTTTGAATAGGTTTTTTGCCTTTCTTCCATTTTCGCCATTTGAATTGTTTCTTGAAGTTGACTCCCTTATCAACTTGTCCAAATACCCCTTAATCTATTTCTCAAACTGCCATAATGTCACATCCGTATCCTAACTAGCCTCTACTTCACTGCATCCTTTCCACTACACTAAGTAATCGGTTCTGCGATTTTTCTTACTCTGACCCTAGATCCGGTGAGACAAAATCTTCTCCACCACCTTGTTAAACTATTGTTAAATAACTGGTGGGGCTTTCCTAATCTGCTATCTTAATATATCTACAGTGTCTTTATGAAAAGGACTTAAAAATATTCACATTAAAAATAGGATGGACTTTAAGTCTCAAGTCATTGTCAAGGGTCTAACACCAATCTACTAGGAGGGTTCTTTCTATTCAATTTGTTAATTTCAAAATCATCATTATTTTTAATGTACTTTGTGTTTGGGCTGAAAAAAAAAAAAAAAAAAAAAAAAAAGAGTGCTAGTTCCGATGGAACCAGGTGGGTGTGCCAGGAACTGCTGTAGTTCCAAAGAGAGATCCAAACAATATTCCAGAAGGAAGACTACGGGACCAGGCGATTGTGATGAGGTTTGAAATGAACACCTTTGGGTTCTTTTTGCCTTTGATAAAGGACTTCGGGAAAGTTAATTGGCTTGGAAGGAATGAACTACTTAAGAAAGTAATTGGAAAGACTGTAAAATTATCTAATGAAAAGTAAAGCACAGAACTAAGACTAATTATATTGAAAGTGCATTGCAATGTAAAGTAAATATTATATTGAAATGCATAGTTGTTTGGCGTTGAGCAGGCTTTCTAAGTTACAATATCATACCTTATTTATAGAATTTAGTAATGGTAGCTTGCATGTAACCGCTTGCTTCTTAAGCTTCCATATGTCCCATGACTTTGCATGTAACCGCTTATAACCACTTGCTTCCTTGGCTACCATATGTCCCAAGACTTTCCACTGGAATGTCATAGTACCTTTTCATTGGACCGACCAGCTTCTTAGGCTGCCATGTGTTCCATGACTTTGCATGTAACTACTTGTAACCGCTCACTTCCTAGGATGTGTCCCATGAATTTATATGTAACCACTTACTTCCTAAGCTGCCACGTGTCCCATGACTTTGCATGTAATTGCTTGTAATCGCTTGCTTCCTTAGATGCCATGTGTCCCAAAACTTTCCATTGGAATGTCGTAGTAACTTTCTATTGGAATCAACCAGCTTCTTAGGCTGCCATGTGTCCCATGACTTTGCATGTAACCACTTACTTCCTAGGCTACCATGTGTCCCATGACTTTATATGTAACCACTTGTAACCGCTTGCTTCCTTGGCTGTCATGTGTCCCAAGACTTTTCACTGGAATGTGGTAGTACCTTTCCATTGAAATTGACCAGGGTAATCTCCTACTGGAAAGTGGAAAATAAGGGTGTAAACATTGCCCCCCCAAATTTGATGTGCCTTATGTCCTTTGAAGAATTGTAAGGCATATCAAATTTTAGATGCGAGTGAGAATTTGCCATATGATATTCCTATTGTTAAGGAATTGAATAAGTAAAACTTTTCAGCCGGAATGTATCGTTGGGCCAAAAACTTTTAAGCAACTTACTTATTTAACGAAGACGAAGATTTGAAGCCTCACGTCCAATTTCGTTGCCCCCCAAGGTCTGGAGGTTTACGAAGAGGACGAATTTATACATCTTCAGGCCAAATACATAGTTAATTGGCCATGTTTTGCCCCCCAAAAATCACAAGATATGAATTTGGGACAAATAAAGTAGTAGCATTTTTTTCCAAAATTGGAAAAAAAAAAATACTATGACCATTATATTCTTCAAGTGGAAGAATATACAACGATTGAGAAGCATATGCCATTTCCGAAGGAAAATCTGATTGTGGAAAATCTTCTTCTAATGGAAAAAGTGATAACGGCTTCTTATGGAAAGGTTTGTTGACCTTCCTCATGGCCAAGCCACAGTCTTACTGGGGAGAAGTCAGCAAGTTAGCTTATATTTTCTGGCCAACCTTTGGGTAGGTTGGCCATTGGATGCCCCCTAAACACCACTGGAATTGGGTTTAGGTCTGCCAAAGGAATACTCCACTGGTGGATTGGATTTACTCCTTGATCAGGAGGTTTCCTTGGAGTGCGTTGCATTTCGAATGCCATTGGAAAGGCCATAAATGGCCTTAGTGGTGTGCTTGTAAGCTGATAAATGTTTGAAAGTGGAACATTCTATTGGACCTAAAATTAAACTTTCTAGACTGCTACTGGTACAGGGTTCTGCACCTCAAGTGGAACCTGCACCTATGATGGAAGTGGTTGAGTTACTGCCAGTTGAATCAACTTCACTGTTGCTAAAGGGTTCTGTACCTTATGTGGAACCTGTATCTGCGATGGAAGTGGTGGTAGAATCAACTTCACAACAAGTGGAATCGACTTCATTGCTAGTGGAATCGACACTACTAGTGGTGGTTGCTCAGCTCGTGGAAGGGTTTGTACATGTTGTTGGGACCTCTTCCATTCTGTTATTGCATTCCAAATACATTTTCGGAGGTTTCCCTCAAATTCTCGAAAAAATTGCTCACGTTCTTCGGCCATCCTTCAGTAAGTTTGGTAGCGCTCTTCTCGTGCATTAGCTATCTCCTGGTGGAGCCATCCCTGAAATGTATTAGCTTCTAGAACGGCACGTGAACTTTCATCAGGAAGTCCAATAGCCTGTTCCTCTTCAATTTCGGCAGGATCTTGAACAAATTTGTCGTGTCTTTTTCCTCCCGCAAGAAACACTCCGTTCAGAATGTCCCACCAGGCGTGCCACTATGTTTGCCCTGAACAAAAAAAAAAAAAAAAAAACTGGTGCGAAACCAAGTGGGCGTGCCAAGAACAACTATAATTCTAAAGAGAGATCCAAACAATATTCCAGAAGGAAAACTGTGGGACCAGGCAATTGTGATGAGGTCTGGAATGAACACCTTTAGGTTTTTTTTGCCTTTGATAAAGGATTTCGGGAAAGTTAACTGGCTACGAAGGAATGAACTACTTGAAAAAGTAATTGGAAAGACTGTAAAATTATCAAATGAAAAGTAAAGCACAGGACTAAGACTAATCATATTGAAAGTGCATTGCAATGTAAAGTAAAGATTGTATTGAAATGCGTAGTTGTTTAGTGTTGACCATGCTTTCTAAGTTACAATATCATAGTCGCATTAGTAGCTTTTTCAGAGTCCAGGACCGAAACCTTGTTATCGACGGAAAAGAGGGGAACCGGTCATTTGAGACCTGACCCTATTTATAGAATTTAGTAATGGTAGCTTTCATGTAACCGCTTGCTTCCTAAGCTTCCATGTGTCCCATGAATATGCATGTAATCGCTTGCTTCCTTGACTGTCATGTATCCCAAGACTTTCCAATGGAACGTTGTAGTACATTTCCATTGGACCGACCAGCTTCTTAGGCTGCCATGTGTCCCATGACTTTACATATAACCGCTCACTTCCTAAGTAGTGTCCAATGACTTTGTGTGTAACCACTTGTAACCACTTACTTCTTAAGCTGTCATGTGTCCTATGACTTTGCATGTAACCGCTTGTAATCACTTGCTTCCTTGTTTGCCATGTATCCCAAGACTTTCTACTAGAATGTCGTAATAACTTTCTATTGGAATCGACCAGCTTCTTAGGCTGCCATGTGTCCCATGACTTTGCATATAACCGCTTGTAACAACTCACTTCCTAAACTGCCATGTATTTCATGACTTTGCATGTAACCACTTGTAACTGCTTGCTTCCTTGATTGCCTTGTGTCCCAAGATTTTTCACTGAAATGTGATGGTACTTTTTTATTGAAATCAACTAGGGTAATCTCTTGCTGAAAAGTGAAAATAAAGGGTGTAAACACTTTGTTACGAGCTTGCATAGAATTTCTTGGGCAAGTCAACTTGAAAAGCTCCAATTTTGCCCATATAAAGGTAGACGCGAGCATTCAATTTCTTTGCCCCTCGAAAGGGGGAAGCAAGTATTGACAAATCAACATGAAGACTGCCAGGCTAGGGTGGTTTCGGTCTCATCCAGTGACAAGGCCTCGGTCTCAATTCCATTGTCATGATAGTACCGGGCCTTGCCAAGGAATTAAAATGTTGACGACACACTGACAGTATCAAGAGTGGACTTTTAAAATTTCATTACATTATATAAGTAAAAATATTTTATTCTAATGATAAATCTCACGTAATATCTTCATTACACTTTACTGTTTTTCTTTTTTCTTTTTTCAATAGGTCAGTTATGCATATTTTAAAACTCCGAGCTTAAAATCAAAAATATAAAAATTTGATAGCGTCCAAACGTAAATAATTATCTTTATCACTTTTGTTCGTTTTCATAAAATAAGTACATTTTTTAATCTTTCCAATTTCCACACCCACACATCGTTAACGATGTGTGGGTGTGGAAATTGGAAAGATTAAAAAATGTACTTATTTTATGAAAACGAACAAAAGTGATAAAGATAATTATTTACGTTTGGACGCTATCAAATTTTTATATTTATGAGAACAGATGTGTGGGTGTGGAAATTGGAAAGATTAAAAAATGTACTTATTTTATGAAAACAAATAAAAGTGAGAACAAATGTGTGGGTGTGGAAATTAGAAAGATTAAAAAATGTACTTATTTTATGAAAACAAATAAAGTGATAAAGATAACTATTTACGTTTGGACGCTATCAAATTTTTATATTTTTTATTTTAAGCTCGGAGTTTTAAAATATGCATAACTGACATATTGAAAAAGCTGCACATCTTCTCTCTCTTACACACACACACACATATATTCATTTCACATCAACTTTCATTGGACTAAAACATAAAATTTTGATTCGGGATCTAGAAAAAAAGCTGCATTTGGAAATTTTAAACATCAACGACAACCAATAGCTTGAATAACCTAAGGTTCATGGGATGGGCACTCAACCGAGTCAACTCATTATTTCATTTACACACACACGTGTATATATTCTATGTCCATGTCTTTAATCTCCCCTCAAGTAATTTTTCCATTACAGAAGCACTACCCAATTTTTTTTCAATTTCTGCGTCATAAATAAAAAATCGAACCAAGATAAAATTATTTTAAGATCTTGGTTAGAGAAAATAATAATAATAAAAATAATAAGGAAAGGAGGACAGATTTTGGTTGAAAAAATAATAATAATAATAATAATAATAAATAAAAATAAAAAGAGAGAGAGAGAGAGAGAAAAGAGGGGGAAGAATGAAAAAGGTTGAAAGGAAATTAATATATCTTAACTTAAAAAGAGTAATGATGTGGTAAAAGGCTATTGGTCATATGTCGAGTCGATAACTTGCCGATTGTTTTTTTGTCCGGTTACACTACTCTTTGACTATTTATTTCGATTTTATGTTTTTTTAAGCTACATGTGAGACATTATTCAATTCCCCACTTAATTCTGAATATATTAATGGTTTATCCAATTAAATGTATTTGATAACCCACTTTAAATATCACGAAAACAGTAAACCACTTAAAATTGGATAAAATTTATTTTTTAATTGTCACTTAAATACTTCACTATTTAAAACTTGACTTTTAAATTTTTATACTTAATTTTTAATTTTATCAAACAACACCATATTTAATATGCTAGAGTTAACGTAACCAAGAATGCCATAGATCTGTCTTCCTTTAATATCCAAGTTATCACTAACCAACCCAAGGAGAGCCATGCTGCCAATAACCAAAGCCCCACAAATTCAACCTATGCAGCACTAAAGAATATGTTCTCCCCTATCCAAAATATTTCCATGATCGAAGAGGCTGGTAACTATGAAAGCTCCTCCCAGTCCAGTGGCTAGGATGATATGGAGAATGATGCATCCAGTGGAGTAAATCTTCCTTCTTGCGCACCTGTCATAGCCAAAAGCACTGAGCCAAGGAAGTCCAAAAGCAAAAAATTCAAGCTAATGCAAGAGTTTGTACCCTCCAGCTCCAATGGAATGAGGTACCTGAGAGGTATTACCAAACCCCCTTCCCAATGATTTGTATTCTTGGATGGAATATTAGAGGTCTAAATGGCCTCTCAAAGTAGTTGGAGATTAAAAAATTGATCTCTGATCATAGAATTGATATTCTCTCAATCATTGAGACCAAAGTTGCCCAGCCAAACATCACATCCATTCACCAGAGAATTGCTTCACATTGGTCCATCACCCACAACTATAATCACTCTCCTCTGGGTAGGATCTGGATACTGTGGAATCCAACCAAAATTAATCTTTCTGTCATCACTGAATCGAGGCAAGCTATCCATTGTAATATTGCCATGATAGGCTCCCCTACCTCATTCAACATCTCCTTTGTTTATGGATCCAATTGCACTATTGAAAGGAGGGCTCTATGGATGGATCTCATCTCTCACTCCACACTTAATCTATCAACCCCCTGGCTTGTAATGGGTGACTTCAACACCATTGTCAGTATCAATGAAAAAAATGGAGGCTCTAACAGACTCACTCCTGCAATAACAGAATTCAGAGATTGCCTTCTTGAAGCTGAATTGGTGGATCTGAGATACAAGGGTATCTTCTTCACATGGAATAATCAAAGTTTTGGTGAGGCTTGCAGTGCTAAAAAATTGGATAGAGTGCTTGCCAACTCCTTCTGGCACTCTATCTTCCCCCAATTAGAGTGTACTTTTTTGCCACAAGGAGGCTCTGATCACAATCCCATGGTTGTTAAGCTCACCATTACACTGAACCCTCACAAAGCTATCCCATTCAAATTTTTCAATGCTTGGTGCTTTCACCCTCACTTTTTCTCCATTGTTGACAAGCAATGGAAGACCTTTATCCATGGTACTTCAATGTTTCAAGCTATCCAAAAACTTAAATCCCTGAAGCAGCCACTCAGAGATGAATATAGGGATAAGTTCTCTAACCTGAAAGAGAAAATTTCCAAGGTTAAGTTGGAATTGGACAGATGCCAAGCTGAACTTGATCACAAAACCTTTGATGCTGACCTCAGAAACTTAAAAAAGACTCTTTCAGCAGAACATTCCAGGCTCCTATTGGCTGAGGAAGATGTAATTAGGCAGAAATCAAGGATCACCTGGCTCAAGCTTGGTGATTCCAACACATCTTACTTCCACAAGTCATTTCTTTCAAGGTCTAACTCTAAAAGGATTTTGAGCCTCACCTCCACCACAGGTGAACCTATTACCACCCCTGAAGGTATAAAAGCTGAAGCACTTGCATTCTTCAAGCACCTTCTAGGTGAGAATCCTCCTCCCCAGCATGGTCAAGAGATCCTGGGCCCCTTTATCACCAAAACTATCCTTCCACAACACATCCCACTCCTTGAATCCATCCCCACTGATCTTGAAATCAAACAATGCATCTTCTCAATGAGCAAAGATAAAGCTCCGGGACCAGATGGTTTCAATGCCTATTTTTTCCATTAAGCTTGGCCAATTATAAGAGGTACCATCACCAAGGTAGTAAGAGAATTCTTCTTTAATGGGAAACTGTTGAAAGAATGCAACTCTACCTACATTTCCCTTGTCCCTAAATGCCAAAACCATACCACTCTCAATGACTTTAGACCAATTAGCTGTTGCAATGTCATTTACAAATGCATTGCAAAACTCATTGCACTGAAAATGCAACCCTCATTACCACCTATAATTGAACCAACACAGACAGCCTTTGTCCTTAGAAGGAAAATCACTGATTCTGTTCTTCTTGCTCAAGAACTTTTGAGAGGATACCATACCTCTACAACATCTCCTAGATGTGCTTGGAAAGTTGACCTAAGGAAAGCCTTCGACACAGTTAGTTGGAGTTTTATACTTGACTCCCTTGCCCTATTTGGCTACCCATCCAAAACCATACAATGGATCAAGGCCTGTATTACATCACCCTCATTTACAATAGCCATCAATGGTGAATTTCATAGCTATTTTAATAGTGTTAAGGGCTTGAGGCAAGGTGATCCACTGTCTCCTACACTGTTTGTTATATCTATGGAAGTTCTCTCAGGTATCCTCCAGAAGTTCATCTCCCAAGTTTCAAGGTTCAAATATCATTGGAGATGCAAAGAAGTTAGTATAACACATCTTATATTTGCAGATGATTTAATTCTCTTCTGTCATGCTGATATCACCTCCATCTCTATTCTCAAGTTAGCTATAGACCTTTTTTCCTCACTCTCTGGTTTGGCTATTAACCCCTCCAAAAGCTCAGTTTTCCTTTCAGGTATTGATCATTCAAGTGAGATTCTGTTCTCTAATTTTCTTGGTGTTAGAATTGGGTCACTTCCCATCAAGCATCTTGGGGTTCCACTCATCTCCTCTAGGCTCAAAGCTGCTGATTGCAATCTGCTGCTTGAAAAAATCACAGCAAGAATCCATCATTGGTCCTCTAGAAGCCTCTCTTATGCTGGAAGATTAGTTCTCATCAAATCTGTCCTACTGTCCACCCAATTATACTGGTCGAGTATTTTTATTCTGCCACAGAAAGTGATCAATGACCTCTCTGCATTACTGAGGAGATTTCTCTGGACTGGTCCTGACTTTAAGGAGACTGGTGCTAGGGTGAAATGGTGTAATGTATGTAAGCCTAATTCTGATGGTGGTATTGGGCTCCCTAATTTGGAAGTTACAAATAGGGCTGCAATTCTCAAGCACATTTGGGAACTTGGAGTTGAAAGCAATCAGAGAATTTGGATCTACTAGTGCAGGACTTATCTAATCAAAGATCAGTGTTTCTGGACCATTAAAATCCTACAATCATGTTCATGGAGTTGGAGGAAAATCCTCCAGTTAAGGCCTCTTGCATGGAAACTCATCAAACACAAGGTAGACAATGGTGAATCCACCCATCTCTGGTTTGATTTTTGGCTTGACAGAGATCCTCTCTCTCTGCTCTACCTTATTTCCATTACCCAGTCAGCAGGTATATCACCCTCTGCTATAGTTAGTGACTTTGTTGATGCTAGCTCATGGAGCTTCCCTCAACCCCTCTCCTCCCAAATTCCTGATCTGAACAGTATTTCACCTCCCAATCCCTCAAAACCAGACCAATTTATTTGGTTAGCAGGTCCTAATGGAAAATATAGCCTTAAGCATACTATAGCAGCCATTTCTCGAGCCCACTACCCAGTACCTTGGTTAAACCTGGTATGGAACTCCATGGCCATCCCTAAACACAAAATGATTCTGTAGATTGCAGTTCAATCCAAACTCTCCACATTGGACTCCAAATGTATGTCTTATCTTGATTCTGCTAATGTATGCCACCTATGCTCAACCCTACCCGAATCACACTCTCACCTTTTCTTTGATTGTGAATTTGTCTCCCCCTTATGGAAGTTCATTCAACACAAATGTTGTTTTTACACAAGAAGTGAAAGTTGGCCTCAATTTGTCTTCTGGGCTACTCACCACTAGAATCACTCTTCACCCAGAATAGATATTTGCCGTTTAGCCCTTGCCTCCATGGTGTATCACATTTGGCAGGAAAGGAACAATAGGATATTCAGATCCTCCCATTCTTCTCAATCATCTGTGCTAAAGCTTGTATGTAATTCAGTTGCTGAAGCTCTAAGATCTCACCACAAGGATTCCTACTCTCAATTTGCTTTGGAATGGTCTTATTCTCCAGTCGTAGCTCGTCCTCCACCACTCCCTCCTGATTAGTAAACAGAGGTGAAACATCAAGGGGGCTTGAAGCAGCTTAGTTACCGGAATTGTTAGGACATCCATTTCTAACGGTTAACGCCGTTAGCGACGGCTATCCTCCACATTTTTGCTGAGGATTCTCTTCCTCGTTGTTGTTGTTCCCCTCTTTTGGGTTTGGCTACTATGTATCTTCTATTATTTGGTTGGCCTTTCCCTGTTTGGGTTGGCTTTTTGTGTTCTTATTCCCTCTGGGCCTCTCTTAGGCCCTTTGTATCTCTTTATTATTATTAATATATTTGCTTAACCATTCGAAAAAAAAAAAAAAAAAAGAATGCCGGTCTTAATTGTACTTATGTATAATACACTACTTTTGAAACTTACTATTAATTTGCATTGGAGGACATTGTAGCCACAAATACAAGTAAATTTCTTGGATTCGAAAATCTAAGAGAGATATTTCTAAAACATGTTCGATATTGCTAAAAGTCTTCACACGTTGTTTGAAGATAGTTTGCTTAAGAGCCGAAAGAGACGGTGAGAACGTAATTATCGCCACAATTGGTGAAAAGTTAATGAACGAAAATGACGACTCTTTTGGAACTTCTCGCAACACAATTGCATCAATCAAACCTACTTTCGAGGGCTAGCGCGTCTCATAAAGTGAACAAATCGGATCATATATCTAATTTTTTTTTTATTTTTTTAAATATAAAAAATACCATAAATATGGATTATTAGTAAGTGGACTTAATTGATATTTATTCTTGAACGTTTTATTTTATTGAAAACACTACAAAAGACACAAGTGTTTTTCTTTAAACAAAAAAATTTACTATATTATAAGAAAGAATTAAATTTTTCTTTATTTCTTAACATTTTTTATTTTTTATTTATTTTTTTTAAATAAAAAAACTAATGAAGTATCATTAAATCATAATTGCTAACTCTTATTTAGTTTGAAATTCTAAAATGAAAAGCTAAAAGTGAAAAAAACTCTCATGAAGTTTCACTAAGTGAACACATTATTCCATGTGGTATAAAAGTGAGCAATTCAGTTCCTGTAGTTTTAAAAGTAAGCAACTTGTCCCTTTACATTTTACCTCCGGCCACTTTCAGTCCATTTTGTGATGCACATTATTGATATTTTCTTATTAATCCCAAAAGTGCCTTCCAATATGACTGTGATACTCCCATCTTCCTGTTAAAAGGCTTTTGCATTCCTTTATTCCAATCAAACCCATTTATACTCTCATTTTCATATGCATATGCTCTTATACTTTTCCTCCAAGGTCAGTTCATTTAAACCTTTAAATATATATATATATATATATAGAAAGGCACATGAACATATATTATATATATGTTCATGTGCCTTTCTTTCACTTTTATCTCTTCTAATTACTAGAAGAGTTTTGGGAACTAAACTATATCAAATGATTTGTAATGTAATATGATATAGTTGAGAATATAATAAAATCATGAAAGGTACGTAGTCAAATGATGTCACTGGTGGAATACGTATCACCAGGATAATCCAACTTGAAGCTGGCATTGAATGGATCGTTCCAATTTACAATGTTCAACCTGAAATTGGCACCGGATGGACATGAACTAAAGTAACACGTAATACAAGTATTACTTTATCACTAATAATAATAATAATAATAATAATAATAATAATAATAATAAAACATTTTAAATTTTAGATACATGCATCGTCACACGATAATAAATATGTTCAACAATTATCACTCTAGTTATTTATAATTACTTCAATTTTAATAACTTTTATTATATTATAAAACATACCCAAATAACATGATTGAATCACAATACAAGCTTACATCCATAGGAAGCAAAAATTTAATAATTATATATTAATTAACTCAGCAAAACTAACTAAACACACATACACACGTGGTTACACTCACAAGATACACCGACTACCCATTGATGCACACTCGTGCAACTTACACATCCTGGATATTTTTTTCTCTTGTTTTTTTAATTTGCATGTGCTCTCTATTTCAAGCAGTTTTGAATTGAGCAGGAAACTAGTTCATTCGGCCAGAGTTCATATAATCCCGGCAGATGCTCACATTATTATAGAGGGTATTTAAGATATTTTGTTTTTTATATTTTTTATTTTAAAAAATAATAATAATAATTATAAAGGGTAGTTTGATAAATACACAATGGCATTACATGGAAGGTGGGGTCGAAAGTGATTTTGAACTTACTCACATTTATACCATAAGAGAGTATTGTGTTCACTTGCCGAAACCTTAAGGAAATTTATTATTATTTATTATTTTTTTTTTTCACTTTTGCCAAATAAAAAAGATTAATTAAAGTACAAATCTACACTAGGTGTTTCTTGCACATTTTTTATATAATAAGGGGTTTTTTTGCACTTTTCCCTTTTTTTTTTAATTATTCACACATAGAAATTGATTGAGAAAATTAGGATTGTTATTGAATAGAATGAGTTAACCACTGTAGACGCTAAAATTTTAGTGGGATTTGGTTTTAACAAATGGACCCATTAAATATGGGCCTAGTGTCTAATTAAGTTATTGGCCCAAGTTTGGTCCATTTAAATTATTTAATTAGCCCAGTCCAAATGGTTAAATATAGAAGTAATTATTCCTAATAAAATATATTTGAAATAATTATTTTTAAGGATAATTATTATAATATAACCGGCCCGGCTCAGTTATGATTTATCCTTATTAAGAGATGACACGTGTCATCATCCTATTAATTCAAGAAGCCTATAAATA